CCCGCGACTGCATCCGTTCTGCGGTGGTATGACTCAACGGCAAATTGCAGCCGCGGCGCGCACTTGATTGTACGCACTGTAGTATGAACTAGGAATAATTTGATAATCTCTTTCCGATCCGACTGGCACAAAGTCATAGTTACTTTACCACGGGCGGTATGCCACCCATCAGTTTGCCTTCGTACCAACATCATCGAGGATCATGAGATTTCTTTTTCAAATGAACCCTTGTGACCATAGTCCTTATGTAACATCTCTGACGAGAGAATGGGTTTGTCTGTTATCAGTATGCTTCGCCTTTCGTCAATTGTTCGTATCACACATATAGCATATTACTGAAAAATCTTCCTTGTGCACTATATACACGTACAAGTCCGTACCCGGGACCTCTGGATCTGTAGGCAGGAACTCTGACCACTAGACCATAGAGGCTGTCTTGAGTGAAATATATCGGACTGTAATTAAAATATCTCTTTTGTCACCTAGAATATTTTTTAAAATATATTGATGTAATTTAGGGATATAGCTTAGTCAGTTCAACTACCAAACTATGGGCTAGACCGCCGGAGTTGGATTCCCAGCAAGGGGAAAATTTTTTCTCCTCTCCATAGCGTTCAGATCGGCTGTGGTGCCCACCCAGCCTCCAATCGAATTGCTACCGGGGGGGGGGATATATCTTCAAAGGCAAAACGACCAGGCCTTGAAGCTGATCACTCCACTTTATCTAGTGCTGAGGTCAAAATCGTGGAACTGGACCTCCACTTCCCCATATTCCTTCATGGCATGGTCCTTCATTACGTTATTGAGTATGGTACAGGGATAACTTTACCTCTAATCTTTCAGGGGCAGGGAAATTTTGCTTTTAGGCGATATTAAGGTTAATAATAGTAGATAATTTGTTTATTTCTCCATGTAATGCAGAACAAGAAGTTCTAGGAAGAAAAAGTCGCCTACTTACCTTTAATACGACATGGACCGCATAAAAAATGAGCCTTCGACAATTCTTCGTTGCCGCGTGAACGTCTTAACGAAGTTTGTTACCTAATAATGATAGGAGGATACAACGACAGATCCAGAGTCAGACGCGTCCAACAATTCTTCTATTATTGCGTGTATTTATAGCCGCAGGGACGTGTTTACCAACCGTTGCCTAGCAATAACAGGAAGGGATACACATACAGACACACATTCTAATGGGAGGGATTTATGCAGTAAGACGTTGAGATGGGATCAGGTACCAAGCCTCATAACGATCAGTTCAGGCCAAAGGCTAAAGGGGCGCTGATTCACAGACACACAGATAGCATGTAGACTACATAAACCTACTTTGGGAAAGTAGGCTAAGAAGTATTACGAGTATAACTACAAAGTACACAAAATAGATCATATATATATATATAGAGTGACGGGAATTAAAATTTCGCATGTTTACTATATATATTACTGAATGGGGGGGGGGCATGCTGTAGCGTAGTTGGTTGAGGGGCTATGCTACAACCCGGAAGGTCGCGGGTTCAAGTCCCGATGAGGTCATTGGATTTTTTTTCAATTGACCTAATCCTTCCGGTCGCACTATGGCCCTGGGGTTGACTCAACCTCTAACAGAAATGAGTACCAGGTATTAATTAAATAATTTTCCTGGGTAGTAAAGCGCGGTCGGCACGTAAGACTGACAACCTAACCGCCATCTTTGAGCCGATTGCCTAGATCAAGAGACTCCAAACTACGGCCCGCGGACCACATCCGGCCCGCGGGCCACATCCGGCCCACGATGTGATTTTATCCGGCCCGCGAAAGAATTGTGCAGAAGTGCGCCAATTGAACTAATTTTCCAATGAGTACTGGCAAAAAAAATACTTGTTCATAGATTTCAACTGATGTTTGTAATACCTCTCAACTATTAGTATTTTTTCGTGGCTTCGGCGATGAACTTAATGTCACACAGGAATTAGTGTCACTTCACAGCATGCATGGCACTACAACAGGAGATGATATCTTCAAAGAAATACAAAAAACACTAACAGAATATAATTTGGACTGGAACCGTCTGCAGTGCGTGACAGTTGATGGAGGAAAAAACATGTCTAGTATAAAAATATGTTTGGTTGGCCAAATCACAAAAACTTGTGAGCATGCAGGAATATCAAAGCCAATGTTTCTTCACTGTGTTATCCACCAACAAGCACTCTGTGCAAAACACGTTGATATGAGCTCTGTTTTAAAACCTGTTATTTCTATCGTCAATTTTATTCGCTGTCATGCACTTAACCATCGCCAGTTTCGGTCTTTTCTCGAGGATCGTGATTCCGAGCTTATTTACCTGACATATTATACTGCAGTTCGATGGCTTAGCTGTGGAAAGGTTCTTTCGCGCTTCTTTCAGCTCAGGAATGAAATTGATATACTTCTTACGGAGAAAAACCATCACGAACCACTTTTATCAGATACCGAGTGGCTTTGGAAATCAGCATTTTTTGCTGATCTGGTGAACCATATGAACAATTTGAATTTAAAGTTGCAGGGTGAAAATAACTTTGTTTATTTATTTGATTGATTTATTTGAACTTATCAAGGCATTCAGAGCAAAGTTGATACTTCTGGAAAGCCAAGTGAAAAATTGTAACTTTGTTCATATGCTATACCGTGCAGAGTTGCATAAAAAGGGGGAAGCAGAATTTCCTTCCTCGTTTGCAAATTTAGTCATTTCAGACTTGAAAGAACAATTTCGGAAGCGATTTGCTGATTTGGATGCCAGTGCTCAGGAAATTAGTTTGTTTCAAAATCCATTTGACTGTGATGCTGCAGATGTCGCAAGTCAAATTCAAATGGAAATTATTGAAGTTCAGGAAAATTATCATATATTAAAGACAAATACAGGGAAAGAAATTTGATCGAATTTTATAAAGTTCTGAACTCTGAGCAATTTTCAAATTTAAAGAAATTTGCTTGTAAATTTATCTCCATTTTTGGGACGACATGTCTGTGTGAACCAACTTTTCCCCAGATGACGTACATCAAGTCGAAATACGGGGCAAATTTATCCGATGAACATTTAAAGTGATTAGCGTTTCAAAATTTGAACCTCAATTTAATCAGATTTTAAGAATGCAAAAAGAGTTCCATCATTCACATTAATTGTTTTATTATAATTTGTTGTAATGAAAATATGAGCATTTGCTGCTACTGTCTGTTGTCATTAATATACGATAATTTATTCTCACGTACTTTGTAATTATTTTATGAAATTCTGTGCTTTCAATAAAACTCATATACCTAGAGTTATTAATTTATCATTTTATTCGGCCCATTGAAAGTGCTGAATTACCTAATGTGGCCCGCGGTTCGAAAAGTTTGGAGACCCCTGGTCTAGATAATGTGGGACCCTCAACGTCTCACAGCCCTATGGGCCTTCACGGCATGTTACAGGGATCGCTTTACTTTACTTTACTTTACTTTTTATTACTGAATAGGAGAAAGTCGCGTACCATTCACTCAGCATTCTGTATATGTGTATTTTACCACCTGAACTTCAGTTAGAGTTGAGGATATCGTGTCAGAATCATTTATTAATGATTAAATTTCTATATCATTTGGTATCAATATAGAGCAAGTGCAGTCAGTGGCAATAACTGATAGCCATTTAACAGTTTTGTACTGCAGAATGTGTATGTTGCTGTCTTGTCACCGGAATGCAAGGCAAAATCACAACGTAAAAGTAACTAACAGATGTTTTGAGAATGTGGCACAGTTAAGATATTTGCGAACGACAGTAACAAATCAAAATTTGATTCAGGAGGAAATTAAAAGGGGATTTAACTGGGGTAATGGTTGCTACCATTCGGTTCAGAACCTTTTGTCTTCACGTCTGCTGTCTAAAAACATAAAAATTAGAATGTACAAAATAATTTTTCCTGTGGTTCTGTATTGGTGTGAAATTTGGTCTCTGACATTGAGGCAGGAATATAGACTGAGGGTGTTTGAGAACATGGTGCTGAGAGTATCTTGACCGAAGAGAGATGAAGTGATGGGAGGTTGGAGAAAACTACATAATGAGGAGCCTCATAACTTGTACTCGTACTTTTCGCCACGTATAATTAGAAAAATGAAGTCAAGGAGGAAGAGATAGGCAGGGCATGTAGCACGAATGGGGATAAGAGGAATTTATGTAGGGTAATGGTGGGAAAGTCAGAAGGAAACAGACCACTAGGATGACCAAGACATAAGTTGGTGGTTACTATTAAAATGACTCTTATATAGGTGACGTGGTGTGGATTGGATTGATCTGGCTCAGGATAGGGATAAGTGGATGGCTCTTATGAACAAGGTAATAAACCTGTGGGTTCCATAAAATGCTGGGGAGTTCTTGAATAACTGCACAACTTGCTGCCTCTCAGCAAGGGCTCAGCTCCATGAGGTTAGTTAGCACTGCAGACTCTTTCCCACGGAGCTCTCCAGGGAGTTGTCACTGTCAAAGCAATCCATTGGCTGCTAAGTAAAACCTAATTGCCCAGCCTTCATATTGTTGATATTTTGTTGCACGTCCTCAAAGAACTCGTTCATGCATTTATATTAGGTGGTAAACTACGTACCTTGTTCACATATGCACCAAATAATATTGGTCAAAATATTTATGACCAACTACAGAGCAAAGTTAAATATATTGTCACGTGTCTTTAGTTCGAATCCTGTCGGTCACGTGTGTAAGTCCAAATCCCACTTCTGACACCAGTGTAACGTTCAATAAACCAATTAACAATCCGGACGGCGTCTTCAGTAACTCACAACACGTTACAATATATATAAAAACAGCTCTAGAAGAGCATGAACAGTATAAAATGAAACGTGACAAAAGTATTTTACCATATACATCCGTGATGGGCGTATGTGCTTAAATATTTCTATCGTGTTTCACCTTATATCTTCTTTAAGGTATCTTAATTGGATGACCAATTTAAGTTTCTTTAAAGACGATATAAAAATCTTAAATTGACGATTCATGTGAGGTTATTTAAAGAGGGAGAAATGATTTCTGGAAGTGTTCACAGTCAGATGATAACGGGTTGTGAGCTTCAGAATGAAGAACTATAAAAGAAGAGATGAGGAAGTGGCTGTCGTAACAACTAGTCTCTGTAGAGAATTGAATTGGGTGGCCTCTGAACGCAAGGCAGACTCATTGCCACTGATCTAGCCTATTCAATCCTAAATTATTATCCCATCTATCTATATGCCGAAAGCGAAATCTTCAGTGGATGACTTTCAATGTCATACTGCTTATATCACATCTGAACGGCCAGAGTAACTTCAGTTAGGGTCTTCAACTGAGATAGCTGAAACAGTAATTACTCATACAATAGGCGGGCTTTAAACACTATGTATGACGTCATGTTTGCGGCATGATTATCTCTTTGATATTCTGCTCGGGCGGCAGAGATAATGATGATCTGGGCTTGGCGAAGTGGTAGACAAGCCTCGTTCAAGCAACTCAACACTTCGAAGTGCGACAGATGTGATTTCTACTTAATCGATCTTGTGGTGTAAGTGACACGTTTGTTTTTCTTTAATTTGGTTGTCATATAAATAGTAGTTTGTGTTTTCAAATTTATTACTCTTCTCTTTTCAGTCAGAACTTTCCATTTTTTCCGTTGTATGCTCACAAACTTGTATGTGTACTTGCATTTTCTTTTGCAATAACCACAGAGACAGAGTAGACAATATAAATATATAACAGAATAAAATTTCGACTGAAACAACACAGCATTGGTTTAATTTGTGAGTTTTAAAGGTTGATGGTTACTAAGCCGAAACCAATATTTCTATGTACGATTTGAGGTTCTCACAGCGGTGGTTATGAAGAGTACTCTCTGCTTGGATATAACGCCGTGGAATCCGTTATAAGTCAACTGACGTTTCGGAGGAACGTATCACCTCCATCTTCAGGATTGAAAAATAAGCTGATTAAAAACGAGCGTGAAAACAGACCATCCGCTTTTACGCAAGTTTGCTTCTCGACTTATTTTTTGACCCTGAAGATGGATGCGATATTTTCCTCTGAAACTTTGGTTTCCTTTCAGCGGAGTACATGGCTTTATATCCCAGAAGATAATATTTTTCAATACTGTTTGATTCATTTTTCAAAATGTTTGAGAGGAAATGTTTTATGTGGTCGTGTGATATCTTTTTTTGAAAGAACTTAAGTTACTAGAATTTGTACAGAAAGTGCTAAGGCACATATGTTGAGCCCATTTCATTAGTTTTTGTAAGATTGTGTGTTTAGGTTGAAATGTTAGACGGCTGGCCGGAAGGCGAGGAGACGGAACCGCGGCTGACTCTTCGCATTCCTTGTCAGTCGATCGATTTGTTTTTAGAAAAGACTGTTAAGCATCAGCGGAAAGACCCGGTCAGGTTTCGCTTAGCGCGACAAGGCATGTCCGGCAAGATGCCGACCTCAGGGATTTCGCACGCGCAGCTTTCGCAATTGAAAAAAAAGCTGAATCTTGGGATTGAGAAAAGAGGCCGTTTCAGGCACTCTGTTTCTAGCAGTTGCCAGAATTGAACGAGTAGAGCAAAGCGTGCCTGCGGAAGACCTTGGGATGGCGCCATTGTTCTTCCTGTGCTTCGTGTTTAGCGCGGGTGAGTACTTGTCTGTGGTCGGGTCACTGATGGCTTAGTAGAACTTTTGGGTTTCATTATTTTGGTAGTTTAATGTGTTTTAGACGTTAAAGGTGTATAAGTGTTTCAATTTTATTATATATATTTCATTTTTGTTGTTGTTTGGACAACTCGAGTTTTTGTGACCCTCCCAGTGAAGCATGCTTTCCACAACGTAGGTTAAGAGATATCCACGGACATCCGATAGGGGGTGAGTACAGTCCATGCCCCCTATCAGGGCACAACACATACTCCGACCCAGCACACCAAGTGACGGACTGACTACGTGGACTGAGTGGTGAACAGAGAGAAGTATGACTGATAGAGATCATTTGAGCTGCTTCGCTTCTCCTGTTTTCCTTCTAGTAACTATAGCGGAGAATTTGCAACATCCCAGGCAGGTAGCCCGGTTGGGAGAAATATGAAAAGAGCTCAGAATGTCGAGGGTAAATCTTTTGGATAGCAAATACCTGAAAACTCCATGTTTTCATAAAGTGGTATGTGATGAGTTGGCTTACGGCAAGGTGCAATCTTAGGATTTTGCATTAGTTTTAGTGATCCAATGGGTTCATATACTGTGCTATCAGTTATCTTGTTTGTTAGTGAGTCGTGGTATTTACGCTTCCCAACACAGAAACATTTCTACAGAATGGTCCCAGAGCCATTTACACATGTTAAGCTAAATATAATCGCTCCTACTTCTTAGCACAAAATTACAAATTTTGATAATAATGACATTGACAAGAATACGATTATCCATATGCAACGCTATTGATATTACGCCCTAATTGGGCAATCAAATGGGGACGAAATTGCTCACGTCTGTTTCCAGCAGGACGGCCCTATTATACAGTCAATTTTTGCCGCCATGGAACTTTTGATAAAGTAATAATTTCCACGAATATTTCGTCACCGCGGGCAGCCGACCTTGGTGATGGAATGATGCAACTAAAAAAGTTGAGGTTTCCGGCAAAAGAATAATTTTCAAAATGTATCTGACCACTCAAATCATCAACAATTTCTTCATCTGATTTTGAATATGATGGATTTACATACAGTTCACCGTTTGTGTTCATATCACTACTGAAATATGTTTTCGTGATTCATTAGCACGGATGTTTGGCCACAGAAATCACTACTTTATTTACAAACTTATTTGCATTGAAATGTGCATCTTACAAGGACAACTCTCGCCGTCTCAAACCTAAATAAATCACCATAGATTTTACTGAAACCAGCCCTCGAAACAAAAATTGGTATGTCTTTTTAAAGAATGCTTGTAAATACATGCATATAAGTACGTGGAGGTTACTTCTAATATTCGATCTAACTTATATAATTAAGGTGTGTAGGCCTACAGCACCGTCATTCTGAAAATTGCTGTAGCAGTGGGTATGTGGGTTTAAAAAATAGGTAAATTTGTCCCTGTAGCAGGCCCATAGAGGCACATAGGGTTGTGAGACTTCGAGTCTCCCAAATTTTCTAGATAATCAGCTCACAGATGGCAGTAAGGTTGTCAGCCTTATGCGATGGCCGCCCTTTACCCCTCAGGAAGATTCCTGGTACTCATTTCTGTTAGAGGCTGAATCGACACCAGGGCCATAGCGCGGCTGAAAGGATTAGGTAAATTGAAAAATCCATTGACCTCATCGGGCTTTAAGATAATTACACTAATGTAATGTACGTAAGGCGCGAGCCAGAAGAAACCGGACCTCGCACTACGACCTTCAATGATCTATTGCTTCACCTTGGATTAGCCCTTTAAGATAACTACACTAACTTACAATGTAAATTTAATGCTGATTTTAGCCTGAAGACATTGTGCAAACATCTTGACATAGCTGTCCATGTCGCCATTTTTGAAGATATTTCTTGAATAATTAGGATTAACGGTAAGGTAGAAAAATACGGCTCAATTTCATATTAATTAAGGGCCACACTGTCTATACTAGTACCCTTGCAAAATTTGAATTCTCAAAAAGAATAAACAGATGGAAGGGTTTGATTAGAAAAAGTATCTGAAGAAGGGTAGGCAACAGGGGAATAAGAGGAATTACATACTGAAGAGCTGGGGCCGCGCCATGGCTCAAGCGGTTAGTCGCTGGCTTCCCACCGCGGCGGCCCGGGTTCGCTCCCGGGTCTGATCAAGTGGGATTTGTGGTGGACAAAGTGGCGCTGGGGCAGGTTTTCTCCGAGTACTTCGGTTTCCCCTGCCAATCTTCATTCCACCAATTGCTCCACAATCAGCCTCACCTATCATCTGAGGCTGGTACAATAGGCCAGAAGTGTCCGCAGTACAAGGGACTTAGTCCCACCCTACTAGCAATAAAGAAAAATAATACTTTCGTATTCTTATGTCTGTCTGCAATTTACAATTTCTGCTGGCCCTCAGCAGAGCTGCTATTTTCAGGTCCGACTCCTTCGGGACTCTTGATCACATTTTACTGTCTGAAATTCAAGACTCTCGCAACCTAGAGGGCCAGGTTCCCGTATTTTTATCCCCCAGGAGCAGAGTGGCCTAGTTATACTCCCAGGCACTTGATTCTCTTTTCGTCGCCTCCTACGACTCGCGGAGCTACGGTGGAGGTATTCGACTCCGCCTACATACTGGAGTTTCCCTTGGAGTCAGAGTCAGAGTCAGGGTCAAAGTTACTTTACGACTTTCAGCTTACCGCCAATCACCTCGTCTTCGTTACAAGCCCCGTGAGACTCAGGACCAGTAATTTTATTTTCCAACTGAACAATTGCGGTTATAGTCCTTACGTAAGATCCTCTCTGACGGTGTTACAAGAGGATGGGTCTGTCGTTTAGAATTGCTGCTGGTCCTCGCCAGCGCAGTTATTGACAGGTGTGAGTACCGAGGGACTCATGACCAGATTTTATTGTCACAAAATCGAGACTCTCCAAACCTGAACAACCAGATCCCCATATCTGTTTCCCCCCGGAAGAGGGTGACCCGGTTATAGCCTCAGGCACTGGGTTGACTCAGTTGCGTTCTGACAATTACAGGCACAGATATAGTTCTGGGAAGAACCATGGGCCGCAGGGAAACTCTACCTTCAAGAGTTCCTCTACTGTTACGCATGCATTCATTACAGCGGGAACATGTTTCTGGTTCCACTATTCCGGCTTTCATGTGTCATGTCACATTGCATTCAGAGGTTCCTAGGTGGGACACACAGACACAAACAGCAAAGTGATCTCATAAGGCCCCTTTTATTTTATTTTATTTTTTCGAAAGAAGGAAAGATGCTAAAAATTGTGCGAAAGAAAATTATAAGGCGGTACTGTTGGAGTTATCACCAAGAGACACGCCTGGACTGTTTGCCGTGGACCTCTGTGTTGTTACACAAACATGTTCGAGATAAGATAACGAGTAGGTATTTGAAGATCCAGAGTTCAAAGTATATTAAGGTAGCACTGTAAAGAGTCCAGGAGGCCTGGCAATTGTCTAAAAGATTGATACTTTTACAAGTTAATTTTTAATTTTAACAGGCCAGAAGCCGTAATCCGAAAAGGTCGAAGAGGGAGAAGTCATTGAAAAATGTACCAAGAAGAATTTAATTTTATTGCACTACTGAAATGTCGGTTGATAATGCAACAGGTTAATTTCACTGTTCCTGTCTCTAAGTACGATGTCCAGAGATAACCCTTTCATTGATGCACTGCTGTACATTGTAAACTTTGAGCAACATTTTGGAACCACGACTTTGTTGAATACGTACGTTATGTAACTTTCTCTCTGCAAAGGTCTGGCTGCAGTATAGATGAACTACAGGACCTTTAACTGCCGTCTGTTGCTACCATTTTCCGATTCTATTCTTAACTTTTACCAGTGAACAATCCATACTTCATGATATAACACACACAAAATCAATCATTGACTGTCTCAAATATATATGAGTTTTTTCAGATAATGGGAACACTATGCTACAAGCCGGAAGATCGCGAGTTCAAGTCCCGATGAGGTCATTGGATTTTTTTCAATTGACCTAATCCTTCCGGCCGCACTATAGCCCTGGGGTCGACTCAGCCTCTAACAGAAATGAGTACCAGGAATTAATTAAATAATTTTCCTTGGGGAGTAAAGCGCGGCCGGCGCGTAAGGCTGACAACCTTGCCGCCATCTTTGAGCCGATTGTCTAGATAATATGGGACCCTCAACTTCTCACAACCCTATGGGGTCTTCACGTCCTGTTACAGGGATAGCTTTATTTTTTTTACCTAATCCTTCTAGCCGCATTATGGCCTTGCGGTCAATTCAGTCTCTAACAGAAATAGGCACCAGGAATCTTCATGGGAGGTTAAGGACGGCCGGCGCCTAAGGCTGACAACCTTACCGCCATCTGTGAGTCGATTGTCTAGAAAATGTTGGAGCCTCGACGTCTCACAACCCTCTGGGCCTTCATGACCTATTACCGGGATAGTTTTGGCTGAAAACTGGATGAATGGAACAAAAAGAAAGGCAGCAGTGTTTATGCAATGACGCGGTAAAGACGTTCCCCAGTATCGAATGAACACTCAGCAACAGAGAAACTGTTGGAAGCCATGTTTCATACGCGGTCCTTGCTGAGGCTATATAATAAAAACCAACGAGAAAACGTAAATCAGTGAACATGTTCATAGTATAGGACAAGGCGAAGCGAGACATAGAAAACACAAGAAGTTTAAACTTTGCGGTGGTCACGCTTAGGACCGTTCATGTGACTGAGCTGCCGTTGTAGAATAAAATACGTAAGATAGTCCTGATCTGCTTTGCAAAGCCTGGGCTGGCGGAGGAATTATATATAGTGTAAAAGGAAGAATTTTCAGTAACATGCTATAAGTGCAATACGTACACTTGACGAAAGGCCAAGCATAATCATAAGAGACAAACTCATCTTCTCGTCAGAGAGGATGTTACGTAAGGACTATTTCCGCAAAGGTTCAGTTGAAAAAATCTCTGGCCATGGGGTCTCTAGGGTCTTGAAGACGAACTGATTGTCGGTAAACCGCCAGTCGTAAAGTAACTTTGACTTTAACTTTGATATAAAGCACCGATTAAATCAATAATAACTTATGATTTCCCTTCCTGGGAATTAGCCGCAGTCACCTAACTCTTAAAATTGCAGCACCTGCAAAACTAGGTTCTCCGCACCATTGGAAATTCTCGATTTCCACATGGCTTTCAAAGTTCCTGGAATAGTAAGTCAATTAGGACACTACCACTTCCTTCCAAATCCTCTCAAATTCATCCTTCATCAATCATCCTACCTTTCGGCTGTATACAATGTAGACTCTGACGATGTCATAAAATGTCCCACGAACCAGAAGAAATTGTATGAACTGAATGACCGAAATTTTTGTTGCATCTTCATACCACATATTGGTAAATATATGTGTCTTATTGATACACGCGTTTCCATCCAAATGGTCTGCATTTCGCGTATCTTATCCGATAAAGCAACACATAGTTCAAAGTTTGTCTGCTAGTCAGATGGATACTTCATGATATTCGTCCTCAAATCCTTACATTTACACCATGTCCATTACCACTTAAATTAAAATAGATACTGTATAATAATAGGTTTACATGAAATTATGAGGTAAAATTTGTTTGCTATCAGCTAAAGACTTTAAAAAAGCGTTGTAATTCACGTTAGAAACCATGTTGAAACTACAGTGCTTCCCAATGGGTCCCAAATTTCTGCATTACCATATTCTGCATGAAATTGAACTGTATTCGCTGTTTTCTGTTTATTTTCAGGTTTAGAAATGCATAAGCACTTCATCCAAACAAGCTCGGTTTTCGTCCACTGGCATAGATAGTCAGTGAAGTGAACACATTTCATGACCTCAGCTCAACTTCAGTCATGGCGGTCAGTGTAATTACATCAATAAAGAACATAATTGGATTCAAGGGCAGCACAAGGAAAGGTCCTGAAGAGAGAACTGAAAGAGACGAATCGCTGGAGCCTGTTCCCACTGTGGGGTTCCGTGTAAGCTATACGAGAGGCACATCTAAGTTATATGTTCGGGTGCTCGGCGCTAGACACCTTCCCTCTAAAGTTGGCGTCACTCATGCTATTGGTTACACAATTAAGGTTTGTATCTGTACTTTAGATATAGGTGAGTTTCTTTTGGCCGCGCCATAGCTCAAGCGGTTAGTCGCTGGCTTCCCATCGCGACGGCCCAGGTTCGATCCCGGTCTGGTCAAGTGGGATTTTGGGTGGACAAAGTGGCGCTGGGGCGGGTTTTCTCCGAGTGCTTCGGTTTCCCCTGCCAATCTTCATTCTACCAATTGCTCCACAATCACCCTCACCTATCATCTGGGGCTGGTACAATAGGCCAGAAGTGGCCGCAGTACAAGGGACTTAGTCCCGCCCCACTAGCAATAACAGAAATAGGTGAGTTGCCAGCTTCCCGCTTCTGTAGCTTCACATCCGGGAAAAAGCCCCGCGATGCCCTTTGAATATCAGGTTTTATGAGCCCCTGGAACACCTGCCAGGAATATAACCCCGGTCGTCCTGCCCATAGTCTAGTTGCTATACTGACTGGGCTTCCCGGTTAAGAATGTGTGAAGCTTTACCTCCAGTTCAACACTCGGATTCATGATGTGATGCGTAATTAAACACAGGGACAACTTTAACTTAACGAGATTTGAGGTTCTCATGGCTGTGACTATGAAGACTAAAGTAATATTTCTGGAATTTGCTGCCCTGTAGTCCGGTACAAGTCTGACGACGTTTCAGAGATAAGTACTGCCTCCATCTACAGGGTCTATGAGTAACGGACTGAACAAACGAGAAGTAGCAAGCAACAAGTCTTACAGTACTTGTTGCTGGTTACGTAACTTTGAAGCCAGAAATTCGATTTCAGATATAATAACAATCTTAAATGCTGTGTATTTCTTGACCAGCTGAGCGACTACCAGTTTTTCAAAAAGTATAACCCTCTACCATGAGCATTGTTAATCAGTGAGTTAATTTTTAGCGAGTGAACTCATCGGTTGGAGTGAAGAGACCATATCGATGGTGACATTCCTAGAGTTTACATATTTCGGTTCAAGCTGGCGATATTACTGACAAGGCTCTGTGTGTCACTAATGATGGCAATGCTGAACGCTATATGAACTGCTCATATGTGACAGAAAGAGTAAAACATATTTTTCAAGAATGCGAACTACATGAATATAAATATGTGGTCCTGCAGGGGTGGGCAAATCAAGTATATTACCCCTCCCGGAATCTTGGAAGAAATCAAAATTGGAAAGAGAAATATTTGGGCCAATATTAATGCCCCAAAACTAAAATTATTTTTAATATGGTGTCATCATATTTTTCAGAATAGACACCCACAGCGATAATTCTAGGGCGATTAATAAAAATATTCTTAAACGGCTCAAAAGCAAGCTTGTAAGCAATTTTTCTAGGTGTCGCTCCATCCCTCCCCCTTTCTGGACCCCCTGAAAAAATCCTGTATGTCCCCAAGAACATAAACATATTGGATAGGAGGATACCAAAGATCGCTGCAACATCATGGAATTTCGAAAGAAGAAATGTAAATACAAATTGTGGGATTTTGCAAGATATAAGACGTGTGGGAGAATTAAAATAATCATGATGAAAATCGTCATTTACGTTGCCTTCTTTCTTCTTTTCTCTCACTATATCAAAAGCTACATCACTGCTTAAAAGGACGACATTAAAATAGGGAATGTGACTATTAGCGCTGTAACGATGGTTTTAAAAAATACAATTTCAGTTGCCCGAAAGGGGCCGATGAATGGCCAGCTCTTCGCAAAGCCACATGACAGGAACTTCTGCCAGGACAATAAAATTTATAATAAACTGACTTGAGTGGAGTACTTAAAGAATCTTCTAATACAACAATTGTATACGTTGAAGACAGATGTTCATGCGGTGATCATGTAATTGTCACCAGTATGGTTGTTGCGGAGTCCTTGAAAGGATAAATAATTCTCTTGAGCAGGGTCCTTCATAACAAAGTAACATTCACTTAGCCGGTCAGGAAGTTCGTTGCCTTAACAGAATTCGAATATTCATTACAACGTTCACACCAGTCCGCTATTGGACTTTGAACTGAGCCACGTGGTTTCAGTAAAGGCCCTTATGCCCTATTTCTTTAAAATCCTTCTTAATATCATCTCTCAGTTCATGCCTACTCCTTCCAAATGGTCTCTTTTATAAAGACCTGGAAGCTGTTCTTCAAGGCAGCCACCTGTGAGATACTTATGTAGACCAATTAAAAAGTCCCCTCCAAATGTTCCAATCTGAAGCCAAAATTCTGTCATTATTATACGTCTAAGGCACGCAGTAACGTAGTTGGATGAGGAACTATGCTACAAGCCGGAAGGTCGTGGGTTTGATTCCCGATGAGGTGATTTTTTTTTCAATTGACCTAACCCTTCCAGCCACACTATGGCCCTGGGGTCGACTCAGCATTTAACAGAAATGAGTACCAGGAATCTTTCTGGGAGGTAAAGGGTTGCAGACGCGTAAGGCTGACAACCTTACCGCCATCTGTTAACCGATTGTCTAGAAAATGTGGGACCCCCCAACGTCTCACAACCCCATGGGTCTCCATGGCCTGTTACAGGGATAGCTTTACTTTTTTTTTATTATACTTTTAAGAAATTTTGAGGCAGAACATCCTTGGCCAAAGTCAAAGTCGAAAAGTCAAAGTTACTTTACGTCTGGCGGTTAACTCCAAAAAGTTCGACTTGGCATCAAGCCCCTTGAGACTCACGACCACAATTTTTTTAACTAAACCCTTGCGGTAATAGTCCTTATGTAATATCCTCTCTTATAAGAAGATGGTTTTGTCTTTTATGAATATGCTTGGCCTTTCGTCAAGCGTACGTATCGTACTTAGAGCATGCCATTGAAAGTTCTCTCTTATGCACTATATACAAATTCTCTGTTGGTACAGCCCAAAACATCCGCAGATTTTGTATAGTCTGGTTGACCTAAATATCCATTGCAAGTTTTGTGTACTTCGGTGGAAACTCTGCCGGAATTCACATTTGAATGAAAATGATGCACTTTTTGTGTAAATTCGTCTCCTGCATTTTACCTCTTCATTCAAAGCGTGTTCAGTAGCAAAACATATGATCGATGTGGTGTAATTTTATTTTCGGCCATCTTGTAGACATTACTCTGTCTAGGATACGAACAGGAATGTATTAAGCATGATTTAAAACGCTTCACTTTTCCATGATATGTAAGCAATATCCGTCTTTTAGTGCACTCAATTTTACTTGAGCTTCACTTTTGTAGGTAATTGAATCCATTCAGATAAGTTTAATCATTCCGTCACGGCCATTAAACATCTGTTCATTAATATTACTTACTTACTTACTTACTTACTAAGAGAGCTGAGTCCTTCTTGAAGAGCCGTCAATTCTGCAGCCATTCAATAATTTCCCAGAATTCTATGAAACCCGAAGGTTCATTACCGTGTTCACAAGAGCCCTCCACTGGTCCCTGTCCTGAGTCAGATCAATACAATCAATACCATCCAATCCTAACCCTCTCTGATCTATTTTAATATTGTCCACGTACCTACACTTTGGTCTTCCCACTGGTCCCTTTCCTTCTGGCTTTCCCACCAATATCCTAGATGCATTCCTCGTCTCCCCCGTTCGTGCTACATGCCCTGCCCACCCCATCCTCCTTCACTTAATCATTCTAATTATACTTGGAGAAGAGTACAATTTGTGAAGCTCCTCATTATGTAGTTTTCTCCAACCTCCTGTCACCTAATCCCTCTTTGGTAATATATCTGCAACATTAATTTATGATCGTAAAATTAAATTAAACTAAATCTTGTAGAAACCACTACAGGTAGATTCTCTCCAGATAAGTCCTTAATTACTTAAGTTGTTCTAGAACAGCAGTGGTGTTACTGACTAGTTCATAAGCCACATCGCTTGGACTCGTGATTTAATTCTTAATATTATTCCTTGTTTTAGTGTAAACTCTTTCGCTCAAATTAAAATGGTAACGGATATGTAAAAAGTAAGTAAAAAAAGTAAAGCTATCCCTGTACCAGGCCGTGAAGGCCCATAGGGTTGTGAGACGTTGAGGGTCCCACATTATCTAGACAATCGGCTGATGATGGCGGTAAGGTTGTCAGCCTTACGCGCCGGCCGCGCCTTACTCCCCAGGACAATCATTTATTTAATTCCTGGTACTCATTTCTGTTAGAGGCGAGTAAACCCCAGTTCCTAGTGCGGCTGGAAGGATTAGGTCAACTGATAAGAATCCAATGACCTCATTTTTATTTATAGCACTACTTCCCGTTGACTTAACTGATTATTCTAGTACACAAGGAACGAGTAAAAGTCACCAGTATTTTATCGTCAGAAATTAAATTTATGTTGAAGAAAGCAGTCTTCTGGGATTTGGCACCGTGTATATGTGGTGTTAACCGAGGTTTCGGAGGAACGTATCGCCTCCATCTTCAGGGTAGAAGGAAAAATATAAGAAATCCGTAGGCGAAGAGACCGTGAGANCAATCAAGATTTCAGCTTTGAAATAGAAAATGTTTCAATCGTTAAGAAAGACAAACCTCTAAGCGAAATACTCAGTGGGAGCAATTTTCTGGTCTTTACAATTTACGCTGAAGACGCCAAAAAGAAGAGACTGGTAATTGGCGCTGCTACCTGGCCTTTGGATCACACATTGTTTACACACAAATTGCATGCACTTGACTTCGGAGACAATGAAGAGCTGGAGACGTCAGATATCTGGAGGAAAACTGAAGAAATTTCCAGTGGAATTCCAGGAATGAAACAAAAAGTTAGTAATGTCTCTATTTTATTCCTTCACACAATATGAAGAAATACAGAAATTTCACACACACATAATCTGATGCTAAAATATTGTCACCTAATAGAGTGACTATAGAGGAGTTTGGATTAGTGACTCGATTTATTGCACACTTTGATACAGCATGTGACTACGCTTTACAGTTCTGTGTTACACACACGCTAATATCACAGTTACGTCTTCGCAGTCGTTGCTTGGTAGCGGCTTTCAATGGCGGACGTTCCCCTTCCACTGCGTTTCCGAACTGTACCCGGCCTCAGCTACGAACTCCTAACAGCAATAGCTCAAAACGACTGAACTCCAGCAGTTACCTGATACAACTGCTAACTGTTCCTGGTTATAACATCTCGGCACGACGGCATGGAAAATGTATCTTCCATTATTGCTGTGTTCTCCCGTTGCCGTGGAAACATACTCGTTTTCGGAGCCGTTAGTTAGCAATGGCTGTTGCGTAGTGTTTATTTTGCGGGCGTTGCTTAGCAAAGGGTCTACATGCCTCAATATGGTATATCTAGCTAAAAATAAAGAAATTAACTAAGTGATTTCATGGAATAGAGTCCGATTTGGAAGCTGCTAATCACTCTTCTAGTGAAGAAATTTTTCTCTTTTCATGGAAACCAAAACTCATTAACCTCTCTCTAGCCTGAGAAAGATTTTGCACAATTTTTTTAGACTCCTGCATATATCTCAGACTTGAGCGCAAATACTTTTATCAACAGAGTATAGATTGTAAGATTTGAGGCTTTCACGGCTGTGACTATGAAGAAAGCAGTCTTCTGGGATTTGGCACCGTGTATATGTGGTGTTAACCGACGTTTCGGAGGAACGTATCGCCCCCATCTTCAGGGTAGAAGAAAAAGTATAAGAATTCTGCAAGCGACAACACCATGAGAAACGGTAAAGCAGACTGTCTGCTTTACCGTTTCTCACGGTGTTGTCGCTTGCAGAATTCTTATACTTTTTCTTCTACCCTGAAGATGGGGGCGATACGTTCCTCCGAAACGTCGGTTAACACCACATATACACGGTGCCAAATCCCAGAAGACTGCTTTCTTCAGAGTATAGATTCTTCTCAAACTACACAATTTATTTTAATACCTTAATGCCAAGCTGTATGCTTAAGAAAGCAAATAATGTGGCTAATTGCAGACTCTAGATATTTACAAATTCACGCGGAAAACCGGCAAGCCTTTCTGAATTTTTCTTCTCTCAGTTGCCACCATATCAGTCGGCTTCCGACTGAAATATCGACATCCTTTTATGGAAGTCATATAATGCAATCCGGTATTCTTTTCTGCAGATAGAAGAGAAGAACCACCAGTTGGAAGTGACGCTCTGTTATACTCGAGGCAATCCCGAGGAAGGCGAAACCGACACGCTTACTATGGGAGTCACCAAGTTGCGCTGGAGTATTGCAGCTACGCGGGAGTGCCAAGAGAAGAATGGTCTGTATTATTATTCGTTTGTTTCCATCGTAAGAACAACGAGTTATGAAGGTAACATGCCCCTTCTTGTGCTAACTCTTTTCGTCTCTGTTCATGTGTCAATTATAGCATTTAAATTTCTTGTTCTAAAATTTTACGTTTCTAAAACCACATTATGTGTTTGGTAAGACGTGATCCAGCAAAAATTTCCATTGCGTATTACTGCTTATTCTGTTCAATCAAAATTATATTTTCTTGCTTTGTTAAGTAGGTGCGGCCCTTCGAAGCCAGAGCAGACACTGAGGATAATCAAAACTATGTACTGAAGAGGATATTTTGATCTAAGAAAGAGGAAGTACGAGAAGGGAAAGAAAATCGCACAAGTGGCTTCATAATTTTTGCTGTTCACAAGATATTACTTTGGTACTAAACTCATGGGCAATAGGATGGACGACAGATGCAGCAGGCATCAAGGAGGGGAGAAATATCCTAGAAAAAATTTAGTCGGTAAAACTGAATGATCACTTAGGGGACTTAGGTGTGGATGTAGTATAGAAGAATGTAGGTAAAGCTCCATCTTAGCCTTCTGCATTAGATAGAGGTGACTGGTTAACTACACCGCTTTCCCCATGGAGAATGAGCCCCTCATACCCACTCGATAAGGAGCTCGGAAAGTTCTAAAGTCGGTCTGCACGCAGTGACGGCCCCTCGCTGAAATCCGAACTTCCAGCCTCTGGCCTTTTCGCCACACTGAATAAACCAGCCCGCCCATCCAGTCACGGATGGAAGAATGATGGAAAGAAAGCTCGTGTGAAGAGGATGTGACCGATATCCACTGGCTCAGATACAAGTATGATGCATAGGCTACGGGCTGGTAAACTGGCGATTGATTCCCGTGAGTGACAGGGATTTTTCTTTTCGTTACCGCAGTCGATACGGCTTTTATGTCCACCCAGCCCTCTGTCTAATAAACACCGTGGGCTCTTTCCGTTATGGTAAAGAGACCAGTGCATGAAGTGATTATATGCCTCCATTTAAAGCCGAGGTTAAAATCCACGGAGCTGTGACTCCGCAATCCCCTACACCTGCCTGGCGAAATGTTTAAGCACAGAGACAATTTTTTGCGTTCCAATTCGTAGCCACCATCCCTTATTTCTTTCATCCCCAAATGTATGTCGCACATGTATATCGTTTGATACGGCGTTTTAACAGGTGGGAAAATTCACATAGGCCTTCTTGAAGCACTGGGGAAATTAGCCGTGTTAGATGTTCACAATTTGTCACATTTCTACGAGCAACATTGTAGAGAAAAAAATTAACTTTAATCAACTACCTGTTGTGAAGTTTGGGTGTTGCATCATTGAATATCATGGTAAAGGAATTAATTAAAGATTGCTTTACCTGCCATGGATTGGGTGGTTTCAGCTCTTTTGTACGTGAAGTTGGACGTCCTTGAGGATGGAGTTAGAAGTATTAAGGCCTGCAAAACACGGCGTTTCCCTCCGAGCATCTCTGTTCATCTTCGGCCTGACAAAGACAACTCGGCCCTTACCGTTCATATACCATCGAAATGGGAAGATCTGTCCTGCCAATTTAGTCTTTGCACCAAACCAACACTGGGTAAGTATATTTATATACCGAAATTTCTTCAGCGTCCGTTTTTAAGTTGTTACGCAATCCGAAATTTCTTACCCTCACGTTAAATATTGCCCTATCTGATTCAGTCTGATTTGCCTCACATTTTGAGTCTCAATTTTGATAGGCCTCTGCATTTGCAAAGAGAATTGCTGACATCTATTAGCCAGGTGTCCGAGTAAACGCTATCCCTGTAACAGGCTATGGAGCCCCATAGTGTTGTGAGACGTTGAGGCTCCCATATTATTTAGACAATCGGCTCACAGATGGCGGTGAGGATGTCAGCCTTACGCGCCGACCTCCCTTTACCCCCCAAGAATATTCCTGGTACTCATTTCTGTTAAAGGCTGAAGCGACCCCAGGGCCATAGTGCGGCTGAAAGGATTAGGTCAATTGACGACTCGAACCCGCGACCTTCCGGCTTGTAGCATAGTGCCTCAACCAACTCCGGTACCGCTTGCCTCCCAGGAGTCCGAATGCCTGAGAATAGTCACTGGCTGGACGACTAGGGGTAAATTCCCGGCAGGGGAACAATCTTTTCTTTCCGCCAACGTGTCGAGGGCGGGTCTGAAGCACGACAAACTTCGCATCCTGTGACATCAGGAGCTCTTTCCTCTGGGATAAATCAGCCGCGGCCTGAAGCAGATCACTCGCCTCCGTTTATTGCCGACGTTAAGAATGCTCGGAGCTTTAACTCAGTCGTGATAGCGTCGTGCTTAATTAAATACAGAGACAACAATGATATACTGTGCGCTTTTATTTTACTCTCTCATTAACAGCGTCATGGCACACAGGATCTGCACTAAAAACTCTCGAGCACATTTGATATTGGGTTACAGCTATCAACCAATATGATCAACAGACGAATATGAATTTAGTTATATTTTCTATCTCAACTTGGAAGCGTAGTTGGTTGAGGCATAATGCGACAAGTCGGAAGGTCGTGAGTTCGAATCCCGATGAGATCATTGGATTTTTTTAATTGTTTTGACCCTTCCAGCCTCATTATGGACCTGGGGTCGACTCAGTCTCTAATAGAAATGAGTACCAGGAAACTTCCTGGGGTTCAAGTGAGACCGGCGCATAAGGCTGACAAACTCACCGCCATCTGTGAGCCTGCTGTCTAGAGAAAATGTGGGAGCCTTGACGTCTCACAACCCCGTGGGTCTCAACGGCCTGTTATATAGATAGCTTTACCTTTTTTAAGGAACAAATCCTATTCTGAGCCACTTCGGTCTGCACACAAAATGAACTTACTGCAATCTGACCCCTCGTGTCCCCCCCACCTCCAGTTTTTGGCGACATGTTTTGGGTTATGCTTAAGCGTGGACAGGAGCGATACTGGAGAAGGTACACAGATGCGTTTTTATGTTTCGTGCTATGCAAATCTGTCCATTTTTCCTCATTAGTTGTAATATGCAATTTGTAGTATTCAGCAGTGATCAGATCAACGTTGAAGTGAAAGGTGTATATAGTATGAAACATGGAAGACATGAAGAACATGTACAAATTTTAGTCCAGAAAACTGAATGGAAGAAATCACTAGCTAGACCTAGGCGTAGCTGTGAGGCTAATATTGTAATGGATCTTAAAAGAAACGTAAAATCCATACAGGAGTGCACACATTTTCTTCTTGAACTTCTCTGTTCTTTCCATTAAGCTGATTCGGTACTGCGGTTATCTTGGTTTTCTGCGGTCACTGCTGTTATAAAGAATCTTATTATTACTATGGTTGTCCCTGTGGTTACAATGGTTACTTTACTCCGGTAATTGCAGTAGTGTTGTTCACTGTGCCACTTTGTTATTACCGATCGTAAAATGTAAAGATATCCATTTAACAGGCCGTTGAGACCCATAGGGTTGTGAGACTTCGAGGCTCGCACATTTTCCAGACAATCGGTTCACAGATGGCGGTAAGGTTTTCAGCCTTACTCACCGGCCGCCATTAACCTCAGGAAGCGGCCTCAGTAGTCTAGAGGTAACGTTCCCACCTCATGACTCGTACTACGTGAGTTCAAATACCCGGCGGAGGTCGGCGATTTTTTAAGGGCGGAAAAATTCAGGGAACAAGTCCTCCGGGAGGGACTTTAAGCCGTGGGTCCCGTGTTGTAGCTTTACGGCACGTAAAAGAACCTCGTATCTCCAAAGGAGGTCACTGAGCCAAATTACGGACGTTTCCCGCCCAACAGCAGTCTCTAATACCTCTGGTAGATGGGGGAAGCATTATAAATACCTCTCAGCTAGTAGAGCCGGTCTCGCTGGCTGGGCGGGACTGATGGTAAGCACCAGTACCGGTAGGATATAGAGACTGGTAGAAATCATAGAAGGAAGCACAATGGACCAATACAGGTCTACGTGCATGGGGAAACCCACCCTCTCCAATAACTAACTAACTAACTAACTAACCTCTTGAAGATTCATGGTACTCATTTCAGTTAGAGGCTGAGTCGACCGTATGGCCATAGTGCGGCTGGAAGAATTAGGTCAATTGAAAAGTCCCATGAACTCATCGGGAATCGTAGGAACTTACGAATTATATATTTAAGGTGGACTTCGGACCACTCAAAATCCTGTCCAGCAATTTTAAAGTTAAAATATTCTGATATGTGGGCTGACGATTGCACAAACGCACTGATGGACAGACACGCAAATGTCAATATCCGTCTGTCTCCTCTGTATAGAATGCAAGAAGAGACCTTATAAAAAGCCACGAGGTTGTGAAGTGGATTCATCTGGATCATGACAGGGACCAGCAACGGCTGTCGTGAACACAGTAATGAAGCGTCTGGTTTGTTTCCTTCAGCACAATCTATACACAAATAAGGTACACGTTAAATTTTACAACACGCTTCAGCCCCTCAGCCGTCATCAGATACTGTACTTGTAAATTTAAGTGATCTGCTCTACCACACCCACCCCCCCAAAAAATTAAACATTAAAATATCGTGTTATATGGAATGTGTACATTTCTTAATCAGTTTAATGACAATCAGCTTCTCAGGATTATTTTTGGTTCGTGCAGTTATTAGTTATATTGTAGCAACTGATTGATCAACTGTTTGATACTTCGCCCTCTTTTTTTCTTCCAGGAAAGAAGACGGTTTTCGGAAGGGTGGTCCTGGGGCCTGGTTCTGATCACTGGGATAGGGCGTTCCAAACTCCAGCGCTAACAATAACACAGTGGCACAGCCTTCGTTAAACAATTTCTTTCTGCGGATCTGAGGTACTCACAGCAATGATTATGAAGAGTTTTCTCTTCTGTGATGTGTAGCCCGCTAAAAGCCAATGGACCTTTCGGAAGAACACATCGCTTGAACTTTCACGGTGTAGTATTAAACCAAGCGAGAAGTCAGCAAGAATTAGACTGCACGCAGAGCAAGCAGCATGCATGAAGTGGGATCTGGACGCACTTTATTCCACATCCCCCCAAAATCGGCATAATGAAATTACAGTTTAACATTCGAGACTTTGTGTTTGTAGTTGTGACAGAGTAGCTAAAATCCCATATTCATATAAGACACTGTACTCATTACTTCTTATTCAATTGATTCATATTTGTCATAGAAATTTGATGATAAGTTTTGTAAAGAAAGTGGTCTTCTGGGATTTGGCAACGTGTATATGTGGTGTTAACCGACGTTTCGGAGGAACGTATCGCCTCCATCTTCATGGTAGAATGTCTCACGGTCTCTTCGCTTGCGGATTTCTTATATTTTTCATTCTACCTGAAGATGGAGGCGATACGTTCCTCCGAAACGTCGGTTAACACCACATATACACGTTGCCAAATCCCAGAAGACTGCTTTCTTCATAGTCATCGCCGTGAAAGCCTCAAATCTTACATAGTTTTGTAAAGGTTTACGGATCGACTTAGTATAAGTCCTTTGTCTGATATAAGCTTTGTATTTAGTTATGGAAGTGTAAAATACTTTATGTATTTCGCAAACGCTAAAACGTAACTACTACCAGCGCAAATTAGCACGTGTTATTGCGGTCCCGCCATTGTGGTGACGTTTAAAGGTTCGTGTTGTAATTAAACCGTATTTCTTCCTCGGCATTCTATGGAACCAAAAGGTTCATTACCGCATTCACAGCAGCCCTCACCTGGTTTCTACTCTGAGCCAGATGAATCCATTTCACATTCCCTAGCCCACTTCTCTGACATTCATTTTAATTTTCTTCACACCTAAGTCTAAGTCTTCTTTGTGGTCTCAAACTGTACTCTGTCCGTAAACAAAAGCAGTCTAGAAAAACCGAAGTGAACTGAGAAGTTCATGGAGGTAGGCCTAGGCCCACTGGGGCTGTAGTGCCAAGAAAAAAAAAGGTAAAGTTGTCACCGTGCTTAACTAAGTTAGTTCTATGACATGAAGACGTATGTGAGAGTGGATACATAGATCGACGTTTTTTGACCTCGGCACTAGTTGGGAGTGAATGGTTAGCTTCGTGCCCCGGCTGCCTTACCCCAGGGAAAAGAGCCCCCCTAACCCATTGGACAGTAGGATGGGTGGGCTCCAGAACTGGTCTGGACGACGTGAAGAATTGAAAATTCTTGACCCTACTGGGTCTCGAACTCGACCCCTTGGTCGTCCTTCCCATAGCCAGTCGCTATACCGACTGCGCTATCCCGACTCCTAGATTAAATCGTATCTTGAACCAGACCATTAGAGTATTCTGTACATCATCCTTCTAGCGATGAAGGATGGTGTATAGAGCACTCTAATCCTTTATAAGAAATCATTTGATTGCCGTTCAATTGAAATTGTTTTGCCTTTTATAAATTTGTTAGCAACTGGATATAATGAGTCACGATACAGCTCTCTAGAATGGTACAAACAGTGATGGACATTCGACAAAGTCGACCACATACTTCGAAATAGCTTCGATATCTTGAAGTAAATGCACAAGGAAGCGCAACTGTTTGTGTTATTTCACAAAATTTCGAATTCCGTAGATACCCCAACTGTGTCCAATCATGTGTACCTACTGATATATTGGGTTTCTGGACTATATCCATCCGTCCTGAGGACGGAAACAGATCCAGTTTCCGAAACGTCGTGTTTTTGTTATCTTAAAAACTAGGACGATGGATATAGTCCAGAAACCCAATATATCAGTGTGTTATACACCATCGTCAGAATCCTATAGTAACTACATGTGTACCTAGTTCACTGAAATGCACAATCACCTATAATTTTGAGAAACAATAATTCGAACGAGCGGGATTATTTCTAAAGTCCTCCCTTGCCCCTAAGCACCAGGATATGAAGATACACATATTCCTAGCCTCGACACTAGACTGAGGCGGAGGTTGGCTTCAATCTTCGTCCGTTTCATCCCGGGGAAAGACCCCAACTTTAATTGTTCGTGTTTTTTCTTTCATAGATTTTAAAATTCGGTGTCTTGCTTTCTTCTGATTGTAAAATATATTTGTGTAAATTGAAATAGCAGACGTCTACTGTTCCATCCCTCTTCCTACACACAGTCGTCGGTTGCTACCTCGCTACCTCGCTACATAGCTGTCCCTTCTCCTCAGTTTCCCCCACCCACCTTCACATGCCCGGCCATGCCCAAGCTGTAGAGATCGGAGAGGCTAGGTTAGTGCGGGGCAATGCTGCGCGTTCGAAGGTAGTTTGGATGTGGCTTGAGTCCGTGACATGCAATTAGGTTATGTCTACATCAACCATTGATACACGCTTTCAAAATCTGGCGGTAATGTTAAATGATTTCTTTTGTGATACTGAATGTGTTCCTACTAGTATCAGACATGTTTATACAGTAGAGCCGTCTTTAATTGCTTGAAATTCGTGTGTATTGTGTTTGTGAAAACAGTATCGAAAACACTGCAAGAAATCGACAGATTTTAGGTTAAAGGATTAGTTAGCAAACAACATTTTAGATTGCCATAGTGGAAACTCAATGTAACGTTTCTGTCGACTAATGCAGTTATCATAGTGAAATATATCACATTAAATAACGCAAGTTATATTCACGCTGCATTGTGTTTATACACTAAAAGAAGTAAATAGTAACTTCAGTTGATGTATGATATTGTTTTCTTACTGTTCAAAGGCAGAAACATTAATACTTAGTACATTTCAATAATTTCGCCATTAACTTTACAATTGCAACAAAATGGGGTCTCTTTTATTAAATGGTTTGCCGGGTCATAGAGTTTTGTTTTTTTGATACGAATGCACGTATGATCATTCTGCCATATTCATATTCTTTGAGTTGAACTCTCCCTCGTTTTCTAACAGGACACACACACACACACACACACACACAAAACTATCATATAAGTGTATATTTTATCGTGCGCTTCTTTGATCAGTTGTATATAAACCGGGCCTCTGTAAATGAGTATATTACTTGATATATTTTCTATCCTACTTAGTGTAAAGCTGAAGGTGCGTTAGCCAGACAAAACAGCTTTGAGGTATGAGGCGTGTACTGCCTTCTGGCTCTTTAACACTGGGATCGTGTATTCGAAACCCGCTCGGTGCTTGAACGTATGTTTGCGTTTTTCTGTGTTTGTGTCATGCTGTGTCAGTCCGAGCAGCTCTACCAAATCTTTAGAAAAAGAGTCTGAAACTCAAGAAACTGGAGGAATCACACCGCACTGGTCTGCTGTGCCATGTAGGAAGATGATAGATGGCAAAGATCTGTAGGCTCAGAAGAACTTCCGATAATGACATATCCTCCGCTCCAGATGGAGTTATTACACCATAAAGTCTTGTATAACATTGTTCTTATAACGGAACGGTTACTCCCCCCTCCCCCACCTGAAACATTAGCACTAATGAAAATAACTTATAAATATTTAAAACATAGGTTAAGTCCGCATTATTTTGTATATGAACCGGTGTTATAAATTTTCCTGTGATCCCCAGACTTTCGTACAGCTCCGTAAAATAGCTTTCATAAAATCCACTTTATAAGATGGAAATTCTCAGATGTTCACATTTACTTTTTATTTCAGTCTTGGTCGGTTCTGCACTAAGTGCGTATTACCTGTTGGTAAGCTGGAAACATGACGGGTCCCCCTTAGAAAGCGCTGTTACGATATTCAGTACAGGCTGCACACTCTCTTGAGCGTTGAGAACACATGTAATACGCAAATAATTAATTGTGAAGAAAAACGTTATGTTTTGCTTGCACGTGAATTGAAGAACGCTGTATGTGTTCCATTTAATTTCTAATTGTCCTAAATTTGATTGATCTGAATAGTCGAGGTATGAGATTTTCATATTTCAAACACCTAACATGAAACACAATTTCTTTCCTTGTTCCATGTCAGTTTGCCGAATTCGGTGACTTTTAATTTTTGCGTTAAAATTGTGAATGTCTCCTAATTTTAAATCTTTTTTTTTACCCTTACTTTTCTGTATTTGACCCACATGAGACATTTGCCCCATTTAATTCATATACGAGGGAGAGTTAGTAAACATGTATTATTATTATTATTAAGTAAACTTAAGGCAGTGAAAATAAAATATTTCGACATGACGCAGAAATTGACAGCGTTGATCTCAGAGAGGTACAGCTTTTTTTAAACCGCTTCTGTGGTCTAGTGATCAGAGATCCTGGCTACAGATTCAGAGGTCCCTGGTTCGATTCCCAGCGCTACCAGATTTTCTGAGAAGTAGTGGGTCTAGAACGGGGTCCTCTCAGCCTCGTGAGGATAACTGAGGAACTACTTAAAGAAATTGCGGTTCCGGTCTAGAAGACCGAAATTAACGGCCGTGGGGATCAGTTGCGTTAACCATGCGACACCCTCTATGCACTAAAGTTGGTACTAACTTCACCGACAAGCGGCGGTTACTCGGTCGGTATAGTTCGCTTGCGGACTACGGTCCACGGAGTTAGTTTTTGTTTAAGAGACTAGTGAAATTAGCATCAAATCAGACTGAACAATGTCTAGGGCATGAGTGAGAATATTTTCTAAATAATAAGTGGAAGTTACTGGACGCAAACTAGCAGTAAATATAGTACAGTAAGTTCCCTACTTACACGCTGATACACAAACACGGTTCCCTTTTTTTAACAGTTTATGTATTTAGACATTTATGGCCATTAGTAACGCATACAAATGTTTATTTTATTAAAATGCATTATAATGTATATTATGATACAGTTTCATTTTAGCTACTTATTTTTAGTTTTAACTACTCTTTGAAACTGGAGCCGGGATAGCGCAGTCGGCATAGCCACTGGCTACGGGCTTGACGACTGAGGTGTCGGAGTTCAAGTCCCGATAAGACCAAGAATTTTCATTTCTCCACGTAGTCCAGAACGACTCTGGAGCTCGCCCAACCTCCTATCAAATTGGTACCGAGGGCTCTTTCCCTGGGGATAAAGCGGCTGGGGCGTGAAGCTGACCATTCACCTCCAACTAGTGCCGATGTCAAGAAAGTATGGATCTATACATCCATTCCCCATAGGCCTTCATGGCGTAGTGCTTAATTAGTTAAGTACTGGAACAAAGCTACCTTTTTACCTTACTCTTTGAAACGAATGTACTTACCAAAAAAATGTATCGTATTTAAGAATTTTTGGATTTGCAATGTTTTCAGCTTACCCGGAAATACTCGAAACGAATTAAGTGAGTAGCTTGGGGATTTGCTGTACCGATAAATAGCATGGAAACGAATCGAGGAAATCAATAAACAATTAGGCATCGGAATATAATATATGTATTAATAAGATGTAGGAGTCAGTTGTATTTTAAAATTCCAAGAAATTGTCCCTCTTCCTTACCAGACTGTAAATAAAGTAACACGCCAGTTTACCTGTCAAAAGGAACTCGTGAGCCTTCAGGAATGGCCGTAGTGTAGACCCCCTGTTGGGAGCTAAGCGGAACAGTAAAATGGATTACTTATGAAAACCAACACCGTATCTAAAACTTCAATCTTCTTTGTGGTACAAGGAAATTGGTTTTGGCGTTTCTGAAGATGCTAACTTGAACGAAATTCTTTTCTGGGTTTCCTATCAGATGACTCCATGCTGTTCGCTTCTATGACATTGAATAGAATAGAACAGAAAACTCACAGATGTCTGACGTGTGAGAGTGTTGTTACTGGAATAATTCTGAACTGCCCAAGATAGAAGAAATGTGTCTACACGTCACTTCCGTCATATTTCGCTACCTCGTGGGCCTGATTTTATTGGGCCATGTGATTTGCACCTCCAACTTGACGTCAACAGACACGCAGCTCTACAAGGTAAGTTCGAAATTGTATTCTAACGGTAAAATTAAAATTTGTCACTGTGCTAATTAATTACGAACTGTGCCTTGAAGACGTGTGGGGAAGTGAAGGTTTAGCTCCACCAATCTTGGACTCGGCATTAGATGAAGGTGAGTGGTCAAGTAAATGCCCAAGCCGCTTTACCGTAGGGAAAGAGCTCCCGGGACCCATTAGACAGGAGGCTTCGCGGGCACCAAAGCCGGTTTGGAGATCGTGGAGTCTTGCCCCCGCAGTGCAGGTCGTAGCCTGTCGCTATATCAACTGAGCTATATCGGGTAGCAGCTTCTACCAAAGTAAAGGCGATAGATTCTACAGAGATTTTATCAAAAAATCGAAATGACAACCAACAGAAAACTAAAATTTTTATTTTTTAATATAAAGCTCCGAGCACTTTTACCATAACACACTCATCTCTAAACTAATCTTCAAGAACTACTGTGTTCACAATTGTAATTCTTTGCTTTGTCAAAATCATCATTTAGAATTATAGTCTAAAGCGGCACATTCGACAAAGGTGATGTAGGGGGTTCGCCGAACACAGTGGCCGCGATGTCTAAGGCATGAACTGTCTTCGCTTGCCCGAAAGCTGGGATCGTGGGTTCGAATCCCACTCAAGGCATGGATGTTTGCGTGTGTGCTTATTCTGTGTGTGGGTAGCGGCCTTGCGACGGGCTGCTCACCCGTCCAACGAGTCCTACCGTCGAGACTGAAGAAGAGTCCAAGGAACAACAAAGGGCTGTACAGTCATTGATGAATGAATATAAGAGGTTTAGAATAACATTTACTCCTATTCCAATTGCTTTATACGTGTATCTTCTCAGAGTGATGAACATTGCAGTAAAAGCAAAGTTACGGCTGAGTCATAGCACGCCATAAAAACACAGGCGGGAGTAGACGTACAGAACAGCCAGTTCGGAACCTCTGATTTAGGAGGAGGTAGGTTAATAGCTTTACCCTCTGACTGCTTTATTCCCTTTGGATAGCAGATGGATAGTGACCGACTCTGTGATCTAGTGGTCAGAGTCTCTGGATACAGATCCAGAGTCCCGGGTTCGATTCCTGGCGCCACCAGATTTTCTGAGAAGTAATGTGTCTGGAACGGGGTCCACTCAGCCTCGTGAGGATAATTGAGGAGCTATTTCAAGGAAATAGCGGCTCCGGTCCAGAAAATCTAGATTAACGGCCGTGGGGATCCTTTGCGCTGACCACGCGACACACTCTATGCACTAAAGTTGGCACTAACTTCGCCGACAAGTGGCAATTGCCCAGTCGGTATAGTTTGCTTGTTGACTGCAGGCCACGGAGTTCGTTCGTTCGATCGTAGCGAAGTCGATCCGGAATTTATGGGAAAGAGAATTATCCTTGCCTCTACCAGGATTCAAACCCCGTTATCCAGGCCGTAGTTAGTCACTCTGTTGAATGGCATACATCATACCATAATGCCATAATTCCCATAATAAATTAATTTGATGGTGGTAAATAAGATGAGCCGGAGTTCATGGAGGTAGGCCTAGGCCCACTGGGGCTGTAGTGCCAAGGGGAAGAAAAATAAGATGAACAGTTTCGGTGTTAGGTTCGGTTTAAGGCACATCAAGAACGAGTTCAATTCGTCTTTGATTGCTCAAGATTCGGTGACATTTGTCATCAAAGCAAGTGGTAGTCTTTAGAATACAAATTTCTGTCATCGAGACATAATGAACGTCTTGAAGATTTTAATGTAGTCTCCATTTGCTCATGTGTTATTCATTTAGTATCTGTCCTATTTTTCCCATCAAGTACAACTCATAAACCCATCATATTGTGGCATGTGGACCGCTTCTATAACAATAGAAGAGTGTCCGTATACATTCTCACGGCAACGAATACGGGCAACAATAGAAGAACTGCCGTTTCTATGCGACGGCCGGTAACCCCCCCCCCC